CTGAAGCCAAAATCATAAAACTTCATTATTGTACTGCCAGAGAATGCATAAAGTCAGCTTCTTTTGAAATTAGCTTTGTAGATGATGACTGTGGAATAATGGATAGGAATGTAATTACTGTTAACAACAAAACACATATAAATAATTTTAACTGAGTCCTGCTTTACAATTGGAAACAAGGTCTTCTCTATAACTTACACTTTTATTTAATTTTAAATAACATAAAACCTACAATTTTACACATATACTGTACACAAAATAAAATGTTAACTTAATGCTATTAAAAATGTCAATAACAAAAAGTAATGCATTGAAAATTTGTTTTCTGACCCCTCATGACATTACTACACAAATAAATTCTAAGATACAACTAACGAACAAAATATTTTTACCCAAATTATCAGGAGGTTATGAAATAAGATTACTTTTCAAAAATGTTCCAAATAACAGGAATTTACAGACTTTTAACCATTCATAATTACTATTTCTGTTACATATTCTGTTTTCCTTATATAATCAGTCTCCTGTCAATGCAAATGCACTTGTTTCATTTTGGACTCGATATATGTACACAAGAATAATAATTACATTTCTTTAATTAATGCTTATATCTCTGTATTGCACCAATTAAAAAAATATAAAATTATGTACGATACACAAAGTTTGCAAACCAATTTACAAACTTGTAGACTAAATATGAAACAAATAAATTATGTTACCAGGGTTTGTTTCCACAGAGTGGCAACACCAAAAATTCAGTAGCTCAGCAAAATATGGTGAAACATCTACAGAACAAAGCACATCATACATTGAATTTCTTTGGTGAAACTCAAAACATCACACTTTTAAAGATTTTAGTGACAGCTATATCACTACAACTTAAATTCAATTTAAATGCAACAAACTGTTCTGTTCAATCAGCGTCTCTCAACTGGTATGTGGTGGCATGCGCCTGTATCTAGTTGTTACAATATTTTGAATTCCAATGAAACTCATTTAATAAGTACCCAGTGTGACAATACCAGTTTTTGTCATTTATCAGCCCATGCTGCTGTTTCTTTCCAAAATTGTTGCTGACATTGGTTGTAATATCAATTAATTTTTATTATGTAAACAAATAAGGTCATAAATATAATTATTGCTTATTTGTATGAAATCTTACAAAACCAACTTCCTTTCCACACTGTTTACTTATTTTACAACAGACGCATTTCATTCCTCATGGGACCATCATCATCCTTAGCTTATATGCACGGATCAGACCATTCCGTCATTTAAGATCCCTCATGACTGGTAGATTTAACCTCACCTGCCTTTTTGTTGTCGAGTTACTTGAAGGACAACAATAAAACAAGAGCTCTGGCAAGAAATTGAACAATCTTGTACAACTATCCCAGCAGCAACTTTGGTGGTCACTTGTCAGTCAGAAGCTCTGTCAATGGTGCCACAAAGCTAACTACGGTAATTTTGAACACCCACACGAGATTTGCCAATTCACTAAGTGCAAGTGCTGACAAATGTAATGGCTAATTTTATAAAGTTGTCTTTATTCCATTCACTGAATGTGTATATATCTTTTTGGGACACCTTGTATACAGATCCTTTAAATGTTAAAATGCAAAACTATTAAAACTACAGTACATTTCGGCATCCCTGATGCGACACCGTCATGAACATTATGTTCTTTACTTGGTAATAAATAACCGCGTCTATTGATTTTCTTCCATTAACTGAAATGTCAGTAGAATTTTCACGTGCACGTGTATTTTCATGTGTCCTGAAGTGCTGCCAATCATTTTTTCTATTATATTTTCCAATCTGACGTGTCTGTAATATTCAACATGTATGTCTACCTTCTGATATTCTACACAAAATATACAGCGTAGAAAGGAAGTTGGTTTTGTTAGATTTCGTGGAAAAAATTAACTTATTAACAGTACACAACAGAAATAAAAATTAAATCATAACAGACTTGCCTAGAGAGGGGCAGACTGCAAGAAATAACACTAACTAGAATTTGTGAAATATAATAAATTAATCTGTGGACCACCAGTTGAGAAACAACATTGTACCCAATGTTCCAAGCAAGGAATACTGGTAGGAGAACTATGCAAAAATCATTATTACAACCAAGGCTATGGGATGAACAGAAATGTCCAAGAATTCCTTAAACCAAACTACCAGACTTACGAATGAAACCGACGAGGAACACATCGTAACTCTCTTCACACTTCATGGCAAAATTCAAAATATACAGACAACCAAGTAATTACTTGTTTTTAATCAGTAATATCTTTAATACATAACGAGTTAAGCTGCATAGTCTGAAATTCCTACTAAAGGAAACATTTGTCATTTGTTTAATTTAGCCTCTTTGATCATAAATACACTGACAGCACAACGTATCACAACTTAGGTACCCCTGCTGACAAGTCAGAAAGTGCATTATTAAATAAAACATGACACAAAAGATGCTTCATAGCTAAAAGTACAATAAGAAGTTCAGAAAGTCTTGATGTGACTCTGGGGACATAAAT